GGCACCTGCAAGGAGCATGCAGGCTATTGTGTTTTCCAGGTATCTTAACCCACAAACCAATGCTGGCATTCCCAGCAAGCCACCCCATCTCAAGAACTACCTCTGCAAAGAAAGAAGCTGAGAGAAGGTGGTCCTTCTCTCCACAGACAGCTGCAGGGCAAACCAACACTGACAAAGCATTTCTTCCAAGGCTACCATCTGGCTCATACGCTAATAGGGAAACCATGACTGGCCTGCGTGTAAGAGCACCCTCTGGTGACTCCTGAACATTTCTCTCAGCCCACAATACTTACTCATGGCTTTCATCAGGATCCCAAAGCACTTCACCAAGCCACATGGGCAGGAGCCCACTCGTGCTACAGGTGCCAATTCATGCTCCCGGCAGGGAAGTGACTTTGCTCAAAGTCAGGAAGTGATGGCATCATGAAGAGTGTCCCTGACCAATGCCTCCCCTGCCGCAGAGCTGCCACTTGCTTAGATTATTTTGACTGCGAGTCAAATTATGGCCCTAGCCTGGCAGCCCATCTGCAAGCAACCGATACTCTGGACAGCGACCTGCGTTTGCAACCGAAAGGGAGGCTGGAGAACAGCTGTAGCGAGTTTACTGCCTCCCTGAAGGACTGCTCGGCCACTTTCCCCGGACAGCAGCAAATAATACAGGAATAATTAATATCCCATCAGCAGACCCAGGCATCCTTATGCTCCTGGTGTGGTTACAAGGCAAGGGCCTGGAACAACAAATTTGTGCTCTATGTGATTATGCTGGTGACCAACTATGGAGGGGATGGGTGCAACGTGTAGACTGGAGGTGGGCAAAATGCAGCCTGTGGACCACATGTGGCCCACCAAGCCATTCTATCCAGCCCATGGGGCCCCTAAAAAATTTAGAAAATTAATATTTATCTGCCTCTGGCTGCCTGTAATGCGGCCCTCGATGGCTTGCCAAAACTCAGTAAGCGGCCCTCCGCCCAAAATAATTGCCTGCCCCTGGTATAGACCCCTCTCAGGGCAACTGGAGGGCACAGGCTCCCAGGGATAGAAGGGAGGGCGGTGATGTCCTTGGGCAGACACAGCAAGCTCCTTCCCCAAAGCCACGAGGCAAACACAGCTGCTACTCCAGTGCAATGCACCAGCCTAAGATTTGGCGGGGGCTTGTCTTCTTTTCCCTCCAGCCCCAACACGCCCCTCACTGCTTCTTCTCCCTAATTTGCATAAGTGTTTTGACACCTCATTAGCAGCTCAATTAAGAACAATGAAAACCAACTGATGCAAACACATGGAGGAACAAAGGGTTCAACTTCAGGAAGTCTCAGCCACATGATGAATTGGCCAGGCAAGCGACCCCATCGTTAGAGGCGGCAAGGCACAGCGAGGCACCCTCCCACATGTTGCTGGGTCCCACGGGCCCACCCATCCCCAGGGCACCCGAACACACTTGTCTTCACCCCCTGCTCCAGGAAGGTGGGAAGCACCAGCCTTGTCATTGCAGAGTGGGCGGCTGGGTGCAGACAGGAGTTGGCTTGTCTAAAGGCCTGGGCTGGTCGTAGCTGGGCCCTGACCACAAGCACTCAGCCACCCTGAGGCTCAGGGACTTGCCCCTGTAGCTTGCGGCCCTTGGCTGGCCTTGCTGCTGACGTTGGCCTCCCTCGGCAGGCGTCGCAAGCCACCAATAGCCCCCCACGGGGAGCACCCACCGTCACCACTCTCGGCTCTGATGGGGGCAGTCTGGCAGATCCCACCTTGCAGTCTCCACTGGCTCCCAGCTGCCACCCCACAGGCTGCTTAGCACGGGTCCACGGGGATGTGAGTTGTTTTCCTCTGCTCCTCTGGATCCTCCCTGTCTCCCCACAGACCTGCTGTAACCAAGTGGCTGGGCCTGCCCCACCGGCACTGCGGCACCTCGCTGCTGCTCCAGCCGCACCTCCCACCTGCCTCCCCCTTCCTGGTGCTTGCTCCCGGGGTCACTTGGTCTTCCTCTCCCAGCCCAGGGGAGGGCCAACCTGAGCCTTGACCCCCGTCTCCTCATGCAATGGCAGGGCATGCCTGACATGCCTCTTCCCTGCAGCCGGGAACTGCCACTGCTAGGTTTCTGCCCTACTCCGCTCCTCAGAAGGATCCTGGTCTGTACACCTCCATCTTGCTAAGCGCCAGCCTGAAACGCACCGCTCACCTCAGGAGCAGGGCTGGGGTCTCCTCCCTGTGATGGCCAGGCTCGGGGGAGTTGGCAGGACCTCTGAGAAGGTCAAGGGGGAAAGATGCTCAGCCTCTGAAAGCTGCTCTCCCTGGAGCTGAAACCCAGGAGTCCTCACCTAGTCTGTCCCGAGCCTCAGCCCGTCTCCCTTCCCCGCACACCAGGGGCAGGGACAGCCAGCCTGGAAAGGGAGGGCTGAAGGGGGGTGCAGAGGAGCCGGAGGGTTAGAGTATCCACAACTGCTGCAGGGAGCAAACCCATGCTGTGCAGGGGGCGGTGGAGGCTGGACCCCTCTAACACCTGTTGTTGGCAAAGGCAGGGGCGTCTGGCTGGAAGGAACGAGGCGTGTTGGGGGCGCTGTACTTGGGGGGGATCCTGGGAGCATGAGCAAGCACAGCGCTGAGGCCACAGCTGAGATGGGGCTGGCCAGCCCCTATTCGTCATCCTACTCACATGGCCCCTCAGGCTGTGAGGACCCGGCAGTGCAGGGAGGTGGCTGATGCTGGGGTGCCCGGGGCCACTCCTAGCACCCCTGCCCAAGTGGAGGGAGCACACGCGGCATGGCTCCATGGTAGCAGGTAGGGGAGACTAAAAGCAGCTGGGGAGAGAGGCTGATCTGGCCTGCGCCCCTCGAAGGTACCTGCCCTGTCTGCTGCAGTGCTCTGCTACTCCCCCGCCCCAGTGGACATCCTGGCGACAGGAGTGATGGGGGCTTGTGCATGCTAAAGCACAGGGCCTGGGCTCAGGGCACCAGCCCCACCTCCGATCACGGTAGCAGGTAGGGGAGACTAAAAGCAGCTGGGGAGAGAGGCTGATCTGGCCTGCGCCCCTCGAAGGTACCTGCCCTGTCTGCTGCAGTGCTCTGCTACTCCCCCGCCCCAGTGGACATCCTGGCGACAGGAGTGATGGGGGCTTGTGCATGCTAAAGCACAGGGCCTGGGCTCAGGGCACCAGCCCCACCTCCGACCACCCTCCTGCAGGCCACCCAGCAAGCCCCACGCCCCTCTGTGCCCTTGTCTACCAGGGACAGTGACCCCTGGTCTAGCTTCTCCCGGGAGCATGGGGGTCAGGCGGGAGGGACAGGGTTACCCTCCCGCCACATGGGCTCTGCCTTCAGCAGGGAGAGCTTCCTTGCCGCATCGCCCTTCATGCCTGCAGCGCTACCAGTGGAAAAACCCCACATCTGGCAGCGCAGCCTCAGCAGTTTGGCTGCCACCTGTTATGCTGCAGGAGCCACGCTTTTCAGCTCAGGCTGTAAAGAGACAAACACCAGCTGCCCACTGGAAACCAGTTTAATTGATTCCACTGGTGTCAATTAAGGCTGGCACGGAGGCAGCAGCCACCAGAGCCCTTCCAGACACCTGCCCGCCTGGAGCCAGCTTCTGCAGCACTGGGTCTGACCTCCGGCGCCCGCCCAGGCAACCCCCGCGGGCCTGGGAGCGCGTGGCTGGCCCCAGCAGTTTGCTCGCTAGCACTCACTGCTCTGCTTTTTACCATGAGAATGAGCCGAGACAATCAAATAACTAGACCAGCAAATAACCCCAGTCTGGACAAAGTCACTATTCACTGCCTGGCTGGGAGAAGCATGGCTTCCTGCGCGCCCTCCTCCATCATACAGCGAGACAGCCCAGGGGGCTCACCCCGGACCCCTGCCACGAGGGCGTGGGCAATGAAGCCCAGCACCGGGGCCTGCACCTGCTCAAGTCCCCCCAGTCCAAGCATCCCCTGCAGAGAGGGGCGCTTTGGCAGCACTTTAAGCAGTGCCTCCATGGCAAAATCCTGCTCTGGCCACAGCCGTGTTGCGCTAGAGTAACTGTGGGGGTGTCGGGAGCCTGCTGGGGGGATCGGGATCAAGATCTGTCTGGCAAGCCCACAGGTCGATTTAACCGGCTTCTGGCACAGAGCGGGGATACAGGAGCAGCAACACAGGCTGGGGGCATTCCTCAGAAGACAGCACAGCCTCCCCACAGCCAGCCCTGCCCAGGGTCTGCCAGCTCCTGGGAGCCTTCCCCTTCCTGCCAGCCCTACATGGGTCAGCTCCGAACTGCTCCCAGCCCCTCCTCTCATCAAACTTTGGGCCAGATCCTGCCAGAGGGCAAAGCCTCCTCTGCTCTCCTGGGGCTTCTTCCCCCAGCAGGATCTGGCCCGTTGTGATTAATCACACTCACAGACAGCCCAGCCACCGTGCCTTCAAGCAGCAGGCGCCCAGGGACTGGCGGGGGGCTCTTTGTGGGGCTGTAAAGGTATTTTGGGTGGGGAGGGGTTACAGTCTGCAAGGGCAGCACCTGGGATGCTCCTGGCCCCGGGAGCAGAGCAGAAGAACAACTCCCGCCTGCCCAGGAGTTCACGAGGGGGACTGGCCGGAGCCTGGGAGCTGGGCGATGCTGATGGCTACTGTCACAGAATCAGCAGGACACGGCTCCCAGGGCTGCACTAGCCTCAGGGCAAGGGGCCGGATAAACACTCGCAGTGCAGCGCCTTGCTACCACGACCAGGCACAGCAACTGGTGGCTCTTTGGAGACTCCCTGGTTCAGGTTCCAGCCTCCCAGCCCTGTCACAGCATGGACCCCACCAGGCACGGCAGCTTGTCCCCTCAATCCCAAGCCCTGGGACTCTGTGAGGGGAGGATTTTAGCTGTAGTGATGCACCAAAAAGATCAGAGCCCATCCCTGAGAAGTGAGGTGCTGGGCCAGCAGCTGGGAGACCTCACAGCATGGGAAGGGGAGCCCAGGGGACATGGTAGTTGCCCCCCACTATCCAACCTGTCACAAGAGCCTGACAAACTCGCCCAGAAACTTGGGAACTTACTGCAGTCATCAGACTCGTAGCCCTCGGCATCCACCACCTCCTCCTCGGGCTCGCGCCGGGCCGGCGGCTCAGTGGGTGTTGTGCCGTACGCCCCAAATAGCTGGTCCACATCCTCATCCTCTTCCCGGGGCGTCTCGGAGGGGCTGACAGACGACTGGCTGACAGCAGAGCGCAGGGTGTTGCTGCGGCTAACGGTGGCGGGGAGGCCGCGGGGGAAACGGGGGAAGTAGTCCGAGATCTGCTTGATGGGCTTGATGGGGCCGGGGCAGACGTCAATGGCCATGTGCTCCTGGATGCTGATGGTCATTTTCTCTCCTTTTCGGAGTGTCATGCATGCGGCTCTCGGCGGGAAGCACCCCCGGAGAATAGTGTGGCAAGAGGAAGGCAGCCCCGAGGTTGGCACTGGCGGGGCGGGGAGCAGCGGCTGTGGGCAGGGAGAGGGGGGCTCCGGCGGGCACCTTACGCTGCTCTCGCGCGCCGAGCTCCAGAGCCCTCACGCATGCTGTTGCCTCCAGTCCCTGGTCCTGCCTGTGAAGAAGTGAGAGAGACAGCGAGACGGCTCAGAGGCAGGGGGTGGGCACTCGGGTGATGTCACCAGTTAGCAACAAAGCAACGCGCAGGAAGCAAAGGAATGAAGGCTGGGGCAGGTATGCAGCCCCGGCTCCGCTGCCACCCGCCTGCCCACCCACCCGGCCAGCTCGCCACGTGCCCTGAAGGCATGGGGGCTCTGGGGGCTGGCCCACGGCCCCCTCTGATCCCTGGGGGAGCAGCCTCAGTGGGGAAGGGCACCTGGGAGCAAGGTGGAAGTGACAGGCAGGAGCCCCTGGTTCTCCCCTAATCGGCCCCCCTCGGCTGATGGGGTTGGGGGGAGCTGCTACCGATCCCTTGGCTTCCCCCTCTTTGTGATGCACAAAGGCAGCCGAGGCTCCAGGAAACCGCAGGGATATTCTCCAGCCCCTCTGCCTTCTTCCCCATGCTGAGCAGAGCCCTCGTCTCAGGGCTGCCAGCAGAGGATGCTCCCCTGCATACTGATCAGGGGCGCGCAGAAAGTCCGCCGCACACGGAGGTGAGCCGACAGGCAGCAGAGGTGCAGTGCCAAGCATGTGGCCCCTCTATTTCAGATGCAGTCCGAGCCACCTGGCTCATCAGCTGCCATTGCTGATGCCCGGGCTGCCGCGGTCGGTCCTGCCTCTCAGTCCTGGGAGCCAGGCTGGGCGAGATGAGCCATGGCAGGAAGGGGGGCTGCCGGGAGCCGTGCCTGCCGCGTGCCTGGGCTGGGCTTCCACAGGGGATTGCAGCCCCGTTCTGAAGCGACACATGGCACACAATTAGCAGCCAGGCTCCTGGACCGTGTGTGTCCTACACGGCTGATGGCTGCAAGCGTGTACGGACACAGCCAAGGGGGGCCGAGAGGAAGCATATCCGTGGGCTGGGCATCACACAGCCTCACACTGCAATAACACTTAGCTCCTCTCTAGCAACCTCCCTGTGCCCAAGCGGCTACCGCAGCACCTGTGCAAGGGGAGGAGGCATCACTGCCGGCTGGAAAGGAAACAGGGGGTCCAGACAGTGCAGCCACAAGCCACCTCTCTCAGGCCCCAGGTAGGGAAACTGAGGCAGAGAGACCGTAGCTTTCCCCAAGCCCGCTGAGGGAAGTGTTAGAGGCAGGCTGCTGCTCAGACCCCAGTCGCTGCAGCTTTCACAACCTGCCTTTGCACAAACCCCAGCAGGCAACACCACCTTTCTGCCTAACGAACAAGTCAATTCTTCATTATGAAGTTGGTAAATGTTAATGAATTTCCTCAACACATATTGCGAACCCCAGGCTAATGATCCCAATTTGCCTGTCCCTGGGTAGAGAACGGCTCTCTGCTGAAACCTCCTAACTTGTCATTGCTCCTTATCTACAGCTGATACCCGGGGATGATATCAGGGCTTGGAGACAACTCAGCCTCTCCTCACTTTATCTCTCTCTCTCATGCTGTTCCCTCTTCAAGGCTGTTCTCCTTTCTTGCGCAGGAACAGTTTGCGGCTTCATTGCAAGACAATGACTGATCCCCCTTCGAGTGTGGGCCCAGCCCTGCCCTGCCAGCTTGGACTGCCACCATTTCATGCTGCCTTGTCATACATCTCCATTCCCTGCTATCCAGAAGCAAGCGCGCGCACTTCACGTTCCAGCAACCGGGCCTGAAAGCCCTGATGACGGCTGCCTCACGGGTGGGCATGATACACAAAGCAGGGAGGGGGGTTGCTGGTATGTTCGAAGCTCATTTTCTGCCTTGGTGAATGCAGAGGCTGTCTCTGGGGGCAGCACCCAAGACATATTATGGTCTCAGACAGATTTAGGTACAACTGGGCCGGCTGTTCAGAAAAAAACCAACAATCCCCCTCAAAAGGGCCTGAAGTCTGGCGTGAGAAGCCCCAGCTGAGATCAGAGTCCCTGTGCTTCCTCATGGTGCCAAAGATCTCAACTGGCAAAGGAAAGGATCTGTCTCCCCATCATAAAGGAGGGAACGGAGGTGCGACCCGGCTCCCCAGCACGTCTGGCCGCTGGGCCCAGCTCGCTGCCCAAGCCAGACGCCACCCTGCATCTCCTCGGCCCCTCACAGGACTCCGGGGGGCTGCCAGGTGGCTGAGCACCCCGATGTGACGCTGTGGGAGCAGGGAGGCAGTCAGAGATGCTTGAGGGGCCTGGAAGGTGACAGGATGCTGGAAGACTGTGAACACGGATGAGAAAAGGGAAAGGGCTGGCTGGGCTTCTGCCCAGGAGATTATCCGGGAGGGGGCGGTCAGCCTGTTACTGGCTGTGAATGTCTCCCGAAGGAGGGCAAGCCTGCTCGGGAGGGCATTTAGCCTCTCTTGTACACAGGCCTGATCCAGAGCCGATGGGGACTCTTTCCACAGATTGTGCTGGGCTCTGGATCGGCCAGCACGACTTGCAAACCAAGTGCAGTTATTTGCAATGCCTGACTGCTCCCAGCCCCTTCTTCCTCCGCACGTCAGCCCCTCACCCACGGGAACTCAGGCTATGCTGCCCAGGCCACGGCATCCAGGCTTGCCAGAGAGCTGGACTTGGCCTGAAGCAGCTGAGTTAGGTCTGAGGCACCCGGGACATGCACACATGCATGAGCGCACATGAGAAGCAGACAGTACAGCAGGTGAAGGGACAAAAATAGGGAGCACTATTAATTGGGCCAGGAGACAAAGGCAGGGCTGGGAACGACCGAGCCATTTCCAGGTAAAGCTTTTAATTCCCTCCGTCTGTCTAATGCCCTAGAAAGTAACATGATTTGACCCCTGGCTCTGGCAGCGTGATTCAAGGGCACAGCAATGCACAGACCCTGCTCCTGTGCTCCATGCAAAGGGCTGAGAGTTCCCTCCCTACCAAACAGGAGGGGACTACGTGATCATTAAGATATCAGGGAGACACCGTCAGTCCAGAGCACAATGAACAGAGCCTGCTGGGAGATCCCATCGGGGTGGGGGCGGGGACGTTCATCCCTTCCAGAAAGTGAAATTAAATTGACCGAAGCAAAACTGACATCCGAGCTGTAAGTGGGTGATGGAGAAGCTGGTGCATCCACCCTCGAGAGCTGCTTCTCCCCAGCCCCGGGTGCTGCTTGCAGTTACCGCCCCAGGTCAGCTCTGCAGCTCAGGTCACTTCTCCGAGGGACATAGAGCAAAGCCACAGGCTCGGCAATTACATTTCAGACCAAAGCACTGATGGATGGACGGGGATCCCGAGCCAGAAGGTCCCAGAATCAGAGCAGGGGACTGGAGCTGCCTGGTAGCTCCCCGCCATGAGCATCCTGAGGCAGGTCTTTCCAGCAAACCCCTCCCCCCAGTCCTGGCCTTCCTTCTGCCTGCCTGGCTTTAGCCTGGCATCTCTCCATTCAGGCCTGCGCCCAGGCCTACATCCATCACCTGCATCCTAGTGCCAGACATCTCCCGCTGGCACCCTTCCTTTATACCCTGTAAGGACAGGACCTGCCAGTCTGTGGTGTCCCCATGGGGACCCAAGGCTCCCAACCCACCTAGGCTTCATGGGAGGAGCCTCATCTCCATTGTTTTAGCTGGGGAAACTGCTGCATATACAGGTGAAGTGACTTGCCTAAGGCTATGCAATGACTCAGTAGCAGAGCTGGGAATGACCCAAACCAAGCCTTATCTTCTGCCCCTTTCTGAGCACTGCCAAAGCTGAATCAGGGCATAAGCAAGAGACTCATCTTGCATCACACAACAACAGAAGCCAGAGAGCTGCTAGCCCCTGGCACTGCACACACATGTTGAAGCATGCCCCAGGGTTAGTTAGCCATGTTAGTCTGAAGTCCAGCAGAAGCCAAGTTAAATATGCACCTTACAGACCAACCAAAGTATGCACAGATATAGCACAAGCTTTCATGAGCTGAAGCTCACTTCATCAGATGCTGTGGCCCATACCTGCAAGGAGTCTGCAACCGCAGCTCTTGCATGCATTTCCACAGGACACCAGCTCCCTTGCTCCAGGGCACTCACCATGGCACAGAGGAGTGGCCTGGCTCACCTGCTTCATGCCATCCAGCCTTCCTGTTGGAACAGGAACAATCAGGGCCTCCTGGCACTGTCCTGCCCACTTCCATAGCCAGTGCTGCTATGGATGAGAGGGTCCCTTGCTACTCTGCGGTGTGCCCAGTGGACCCGGCTGCCTTGATCCAGACCTGCTGGTACACAGGGGCCTGCATACTTTTCCTTCAAAGGAGCTTCGCTGAAGTGTGTGTGTGTGGGGGAGTTAATTGAAAGCAGCATGTGCCTGGCAGTGTGACTCACTACCACCGCGCATTGTCTCCTCCTCGATGCACAGCTACTGGGAATGAACCGGCTCCCACGGAAGTCAACGGGAGCGTTGCCATCGGCTGCGAAGGCAGCTGGGCCGGGCCTCTTCTGAGCACCGCACAGACCCTACCTGGTTAAAGGCTCCCTGCATTTGCTAAACAAAGCAATAGCAATGAGGGGTGATACCCCGCAAAGGCCCGCTGTGCTGATTCACACGCCCAGGCCAGGCTGAGCTCTGGGTACACCCTGACTCCCCCACTCTACTGCACAGGTGAGATTTAGATATAAAGTCACCCATACTCAAAGGGGCGGTCACAAACTCCTCCATGACCATTTCAGGCTGGATATAAGGAAGAACTTCTTTACTGTCCGAGCCCCCAAGGTCTGGAACAGGCTGCCGCCAGAGGTGGTTCAAGCACCTACTTTGAACACCTTCAAGAGACATTTGGCTGTTTATCTTGCTGGGATCCTATGATCCCTGCTGAGTGTATGCTTAGGGGCAACCAGCATGGGTTCATTAGGGGCAGGTCCTGTCAAACCAACCTGGTGGCCTTCTATGACCGGGTCACAAAATCCTCAGATGCAGGTGTCGCAGCGGACATAGTCTTTCTGGACTTTAGGAAGGCCTTCGACACTGTCTCTCACCCTATTCTTGTTAAAAAATTAGAAGATTGTGGTGTCGATGCCTACACAGTCAGATGGGTCATCAATTGGCT